AACCTCTTTAACCAAACCTTTTGAACAAGAAGCTTAGAAATATGGAAACCATTGAACGGCGTTCAAGTCGCACTAATCCCTGTGGAGACGACAAAACTGGGTTACTTAATATTTTTTGCTTGCTGCTTTACCGCATCAACAAAAGCTTGTGTACCTTATGCAAGCTTATGTTTTGTTTTGATGTTTTGATGATGTTTGAAGGTTTTGACTTTGATTATGTTATTGGTGATTCAGAGATGATGAGTATGATGATATGTTGTAACATGATGTTAATTCAGAAAAACTATGGAATAGATGATGAATTAGGAAGTTATAACCATGAGAAATTGGATTTATTTGATGGACTTTGGTATCATATGCATTTGGCACATGTGGAGTGTTTGGATGGTTTAAAAACATATTTTTGGAAAATTTTTGCATTATGTGCCGACCTATGAAGGTCATGTGTTGACCTGTATAAGCCATAGGCCGACACATGCAGTCAACACATCTAACAAAATGTTACAGGCTTTAAAAATGAAGTACATGAGTCGACCTTTAGATGTTATGTGCTAACCTGTATAGGTCATGAGCTGGCCTGTAGATGTTATGTGTCGACACATAACTTCCCGAATGTTATTTTGCACTGTTCGACGATTTTAGCCATAATTTTTTATTTATATATCCAAATAACGTGCTGTTTAAAGCATTAGAATGCTAACACACTGATATATATCATGAAAATGATAGATGTATCGTTTGATAATTTTTCCTATGCCTACTTTGTTGGTAAAGTTTTATTCATATGTTCAGATAATGAATTGTTGACATATCCCAATGATTTTGGTCATAACTTTCATTCTGTAAGTCCAATTTAGATGTTGTTTGAAGCATTGGAAAGCTGACACGCTGAACTACACAATGGTAGTGAGAGTTAGGATTATCAAACTGTGATTATGTGTGTATTTTTTTTCATGATAATGTTATGAACCGTTTAGTGAAACATTGAGTTTTTGTTATTGATAAATTTATGTGGTAAATTGCTAACATAATTGCAAGTTGTTTGATTGTTGTGTTTTGATGACAACGTTGAGTTGAGATGCGTAGTTTATATGTGAAATTATTATGTTGATGTTGTACATGAAATTATGTGGTTTGATGTGATATCATGGTATTGTTGCAATTGTTGTGGTAATGTTGATGTGATTATGAGATGAATTGTTATACTTAAAATGTGATATGTTGAGTTGAGATGTGTAGTTTCAATGTGAAACTATCCTGTTGACGTTGTATAGGAAATTATGCGGTTGATGTGATACCATTTGTGTTGTTGAGTTGTTGTGATGATGTATACATTCGCTCAAGCATCATGAGTTAATGTTATTGTGAAATAGGCGATTGTTGGTTTCCATTTTGGTGACTAGCAATTTTCCCAAGCTTGATGTTGTGGCTTGAAGCTCGGTGTGGGGATCAGGTTTGCTGAGTGAAGTTCATGGGTTTGCAGTTGATTGGGGCCCAGCTCGTAATTGGAACCATTATTGAGATTGGTATCACATGCATATGGGTTTATTGATATTGTTGAGAGTCACATTTGCATATTGTGTATCGTTATGACGTGGGTGAAACTTGAATACATGTGTTGTGGTGCATAATGGATTATGTTGAACTGTATTGTATTTAATCTACTATGATTATTATGTTCCGTTTATTATTTGAATGTATTTCTCACCCCTTCTGTTTGAATGTTGCCTTTACATGGGCAACATGCAAATACTCAGGATTAGCATTACTAAAGTAAGTGGAAGCCAGCTCATGGAGTTGCTTCTTAGTTTAGCATTTTATTTAGTAGCGTCTCACTCTGATCATGTAACATTGGCTTGAGAACACTTGTTTTAATGTTATGACATGTTTATGTTGGAGTCATAAGACTAATTTTGTTGTGAATTCTTAAGCATGTTGAGCGGATTTCTCATAACTCTCATATTTGTTATTAAAGTTGAAGTTTGAGACCAAATGTCATTACTTACCTTATCTTCCATAATTGTTGATGATATTTCCGCTGCGATGATCCTTTAAAATGAAAGTAAGCTTGCGATAACAAGTTTAATGTGAATTGATGTAACCCGTGTTACGGAGCAGGATAAGATTGATGTGAGTGACACCCTATGTGATCATACTTTTTATTAAAATTATGCATTAAAATTGTATGCGGGGTTTATGGTGGTACAATTCACATACCTAATTCCTAAGTGTAACATTTACTTTGGGGAACCCTGTTGGATCATTGATGCAATTTATTCCAACTTTATCGTTTGCAGAAGGTCGGGGTTCAAGCATTCAGTTCATGGTAGATGATAATTAGGGTTCATCCCCATCTAAGGGAGGATGGGATGTTTTTCGTAGTCGAAATTCTCGGGGAAGGGAGACCGTCAGTTAGGTTACTCCCAATTTTAGGGAGAAATCGAAGGGCACCAAGCGCTGGCCTCTAGCCTTGTTCGGCTAAAGTATGTTGGTTACCTAACTTATTCTCTGAATATTCCTATTGTTCTATTTTCAGGCCATAAAGTTCTATTTGATCCTTGAAGCGGGTTTACTAGACCCCACAATGGCAAGCGAATTATCAATCTAGGGCGAGTTCTTAATACTCTTGGGCATGCTCTTGATATTTGAGCAAACCCATGATTCTTTGGAAGAGGGAAAGCCATTAATACTTTTACGGGCTATTGACACTTCTCCCTATAGTATGACCTAGTCCCTTAGTCAATGCTCTTTATCGTGCTATATAAGTCACTCTATTCAAAATATGATTATAGGTACATAGTCCCCCAAAACATGAGGCACATGGAGACAAAATGATTTCTTAAGTCCTAATGAGAAGTCGAACATGTACAAATCCCCTCAAGCATGAGTCGCATAGGGGCGAGATGCTTTTTTCAAGCTGATTAAGAAGTCAGACGTGTCATTATTGTCATTAATTGTCGTGATTATTTTGATTATTATTTGAGTTCCTATGTATGGTGGGCGGACATGGGCCGGTATAGACATACTGATAGGTAGTCGCTCAAGCACTAGGCGTGCATGGGCGAAGTTCTTTTAGTGAGATCAATCATCCTTCATGGGTGGGCTCCTCATTATGGTTAGATTTTTGACTTTGTGTTTGTTTGAGTAATCTCGCCTTATTATTTGAGTTACCCTTGTTGTTTGTGATTTGGCTATAGTTGACCATGAGCTTTTCTTATATTCGTTTTGATCATTTGTATCGCTTATTGTCTCATGCCTATGTTGTCTCCCGTATGCTTTAGGATCCTCATAGGATTTTGACAAATACCCCGTATGACTTCATAGTCCTAGAATTTTTATGGATACTCCAAAAGGCTTTTGAGTCCTACTAGGGCTCTAGTGGATATCTTGAAGGGTTTTAAAGTTCCACTGGGTTTCTAGCACATGGCCTATAAAGTTTCAGAGTTCCACAAGGATTCTAGCAAATATCCAACAGGGCTTCAAAGTCCCAAGAGTTTTAGGGCTTCAGAGTTCCACTAGAGTTTTGAAAATGTTGTTAGTCTTATACTTAATTCCTAGTGGTTGTAAGCTGAGATCAATTAACTCTTATCTTATAATTTATAATTTGTTGTTTCTTTAAAACTTTTGAAATGATAACTTGGTTTCTTTTACGATTCACCAAATTTGTTTATAATCATTTTTTTAGTGTACCCTGTCTTTACTCTCTTCATTATTGTCGTCATCGACAACAGTGTCATCGTCACCACCAACAGTAGCTTCACATAAATTGGATTTGAGATTCACGTCAGTTTTATCGGGTTCCACCATAGACACCATATGTACTCATATAGATACACTATTGTTACTCCACTAGTATAAAATCAATGAAACTCAATTGATTTATGAATTACATATTCTATGAATTGTGTATATCTTTTCTCCTAGCGTTCATAACTTTATATAGAAACCATGATCCATATTAAACATAAAATCCATGGTCCATATTAAACATAAAATCCATCAAAGACAACTTAACGTGGTTGCCCGTGATTTGAATGACTGAAAACCAACTTTAATTAATTCCAGACCATAATGCATCTTGACAATGTAACATTTGAGTTAGTAGCTGCTAAAAAGATGGTTGATTTGATAGCTATACAATAAAGCACTCTCCATTCTTACTTTGCTTTTATCATCAGTTATGTTTCCCTTTTTCTTGTTTGGTGTTCAAGAGTATGAGTCAAATTTATTTTTGCAAAAAAAACTAATTATTGTTGGTATGATACTCATAAAACAAGATAAGAAATGGTGGAGATTACCACGTGTCCTTTCTGTTTCACATTTGGAAATTTATGATCCTATGATGAGTGCAAAGAAGAAAATATGAGTCGTAGAATATAAGGTCAAAGTTGTTAGGCCAAGTTGGCTGGTAAGTCTTCTAAATAAGCTTTTTCTGAGAACAACGTCAACCCACAAATAATGACGACTTCTCCTCCACCCGTATCTTTTCCGTGATTTCCGCTCAAATTCAAATACCCATGATGACCCACTTTCCTTTTCGCTGCAAAATTTGTTTCCTCCCCAACATTGTTCATAGTAATAATAATGAGTCAATTCCAAATTGCACAAAACCACAAAAGAAGTTCACATGGGGTGCCAAATTTATATTATATTGTAACCCATCAAAGTGGTCCATCATTACCTATTTATGAACAAAAAACAGTTTTACTTTCAAAGAAAATCAAGTACTCATCTTTTGTCCACTCTACAACTTTATGTAAATACAAGTTCTAAAAGCGTTCAACTATATCAAAGCATATTTTTCATTCATAGAATCAAAAGTTGGCACCTCCCAACCAACCATAAGCAAAGCCTCATTGTCATTGTCATGACTCATGAGTTGCATTTATTTTTCTACTATATGTTAGATTTATTTCATGATAATATATTGCACCATGCTACAGATTCCCTTTTGCATTGGTAGCTTATGCATTCACATTGAACCGGATATGATTATTCTCTTAATTAAAATAAGCACTTTCAAAAACTTTGGCTTTCTCGTTTGCAATTTCAGCTTCTGGTCTCTTTGCCAGTTCATATCCTCTCTCCTGAAAGAAAGAAAGAAAGATGAAGCAACAACAATACTATATCATATCATACAATCATAAAAAAATACACTTCTCAATAAAACTTCAAGACGTACCAGCAAACGCCATAAGAAAGCAGTGCCGCCTCTCTTCTTGATTTGCTTCTCTATTACTTCGATTGCTGGGTTAAAATTCATCACAATTGAAGATGATTGATGATGCATTTGAAAAATTAACCAAAAAGTTTGAGATTTTACCCTTCATTGCGTCTCCGCTGTTCAGCAACATGATGTACCAAACTTCGTTGAATACATCAACTTGTTCATCAGATGCACCAATTATCTTCACATGATCATGGTTTGCATTATTAAATCCCAAAAAAGAAACAAGTGAAGACACAATAGTGAAGATTGAAGAAGTTTAATTAATATAACCTTGCAATCATTGGCATCAAAATCAGGACCAAGTACTTCCAGTCCATGTCTGTAGTCACCTCTTCCATATGCAAAGAGTGCTTCTGCAAGCTAGGTTGAAATAAAGAATTGGAGACAAGAATTTTAACCAAGAAAATTCAAAATATATTTAACGTGTGTATGTGCTAATTGCTTCTCACATCTAGGGCCTGTTTGGATTAACAGGTTAATTAAACGCTTACAGTATAAATGTTTGGCGTATAAGTGTTTATGTATAAACTATTTTAATAACAAAAAATAAAACAGAACCAAACTGATTTCATATAAACTATAAATTGTTTTCATAACTATCTTTAGAGAACTTAAGGGAATAAGTTGAAAACAATTTATGGACGTCTCATAAGTTGTTTTCGTAAGCTCCAACAAACAGTTAAACAAGTACTTATGGCTGTAAATCAGCTTAACTAAGTTGATCCAAACAGACCCTTTGTCTAACACTCTTATATAATAAGATTTTTAGTAACATTACTAGTTAAGGTTGTATGTAACAGATAACGGCTAACTAATCGATTAGGCACAGTATGGAAGTCGGTTTTCATATAATCACTGAAGTGGCAACTGAAGCATACCATCATTCCTTTCTGCATTATTTGTTGCTTCTTTTTAGTCATCCTCAAAATCCTACAGTAAGATAACATGTTATTACAATTCATACCATACTGCATCTAAAGCACTTTCTGTAAATATAACACTTCAACCTGTCTTTTAAGCCCTTAAGAAGATCTTCTGATTTAGCAATTTGTCCAGTCTTTGCCAAAGCCCAAACTGTCAATACATCAAGGTGCCACTCTAAATACCAGTTTGCCTAAACATAGGATACATACAAGAATTGTAAAGAAAACATTTAGCGTCAATATCCTAAAACTGAAAAATTAGCTCAAGTTACCCCACATAATATGAAGTATATATTATACAGAAGCTACATCAAAATCATCATAAAGAAGCATGAAACGTGTTGAGAGTCGCACATCAAATGAGAAAAGATCTGAAAATGTGTTAATAAGTGGGAGACATCTCTCTCCTTCAAACCAGTTTTGTAAAAGTTGAGTTAAGTTAAACTCAAATAATAAAATGGCATCGGAGTCTCTCAACGATTCATTGAACCACTGCTATCAAGTCACACATTAGTGTTGACTATTGAGAGCCCCACTTCAGATTATATGAGGTTTAAAAATGTATTTATAAAGTAAGAACATACTCACCTTACAAGCCGGTTCTATAAGAATTGAGTTAAGACTCAACTCAAATTACAAGAATTTCATCTTGAAAATTATAAGTTTATAAACTCAAATAGTTTCATCTTAAATATATTTGTTTTTCTATTTCAGGGTTATTTGGCAACTTCTCTTCTCTGTACTGTGTCCCAAATTCACATTATAGTGATCACTATTTTTCTGTCCAAAATGTGTACTGGAAGTATCACTAGTTTATTGTTCGTCTAATTTTAAATACATTATAAGAGAATGCAGTTAAAGATCGACTCTAACCAATGAGCATGAGGGTAGAGAATTTAAATTAACATTTCAAGTTGCACAATGAAACATCCTGCCAAATGACCATTTCCATTGATGATGCATCATTCACTGTGAACCATAACTTACTTGAATGGCTAGGCAATCTGCAAGCTTCTCGAGCCTATCACCAAAAAAGTCCAATTCATCACGTACACAAATCCGCAGAAACAGAGCCACAGCATTTAAGTAAACCTATGTTCAAATGAGGTTGGAATTCACTACAAAGGAAAGAAAGCGAGAAACTATTAGTAGTAACAAACTTAATAAAATTGTTTACCTCAGGAGCCGCTGCATCGGTTTTGTCTAACTCCTTCCATATATAATTGTCATATACCTCGAGCACGCTTTGCATTGGAGCATTGCCTTCTAAGTAACAAAGTGCTACATGCCACCAATTGTGTGTCAACCTGAAAGAATGGAAACTCTTCGGCTGATTAATAATTTAATACAAAATGAGACAAAGCCATTGTCAAATGAATAAAATGCTTACATAAAGGATGAGTAAGAACTCCATGATGATGAACATTCTTCCATGAACTTAACAGCTTCTCTAAAACGACACTCGTACTGAAGAACATGACATAACTGTATAACAAATTTCAACAATTTTTACATCAACTATTGAGGTCATAAATTATCAAAAGTTTTTGTTGCAATACATTTCAGAGACACTTTCAATTTCATAAAGGTAGAGTGGACATTTCGAAATTTTGACAAATACATTGACCTACAGCATGTTGTGACCAGCCGTCTTGGTTGTTGATTTCGAATCCTCTTTTGGCAGCTACCTCGGCGTCTTTCATTCGTACAAGCTCTAATAATGGAAAAGCAAGCATGCCATATATGTAACTTTCTCCTTCGTTTTGAGGTAGAACCTGTGAGACATAGAAGGATAGGGTACTCATACATTTTTTCAATAACAGTAATAATTAATATGAATCACAAAGATAAGTAAGTCAAACTGAAAATCATATGGAGAAAGTTACATTTTGTTTTGATGATCAGAATGAGAGATTATGACAGGTTAAGAGAAATTATGAACCTGTGATTAAGCATAATACGTTGTTCCTGATGTTTGGCATAATTTAGAAGTTTGAATGATAAAAAAATGTTCTATAAAAGTATACAGACACTAACATGATATAGTCATTAGAAAATTTTAGGTAAGAAATTAGGTTGATTATATATTCCCTAGGTGAAAACAAATTTAGGCATCAAAATTCTCTCAAATTTCACATCTTTGATCCACTTCTTGAGACACCGCAACCAAAAGAAGCCAAAATAATAACCTGTGTAAGAATTTTCTATTATATCATAACATTATGGCTAATTTTTTAAACAATTCACAAGATACAAAGTTTTTTCACTGATAAAACTCTACCTTAGGAAAAATTGATATTTGTTGGTACAAACAATAAAAGAAATGAAAGAAAAATGTCGTGCAATTGAAAAGGAACCTGATTAACAAGGGATAAAGAAAGATCAGGCCGACCCATGTAGAAGCACAAGACCTGTGCTCTCTTTAGAGAAACCAAATCTCTTGGGAACTCCTTTAAAAGCTTCAAACACAAAGTCTTGTTAATCAAGAAAATATGAGTATAAACATCCCTGAATCTCAAACCATAGTGCAGACATGCCTACTCAAGTATACTGAGTAGGCATGACAATGGAGCGAGACTGGTAATGCTTAAACCTGCTCCCGCCCCCGCCCGTTGTCATGCCTACTCAGCACAATTACTTACCTTAGAATGCAACTCAACAGCTACATCATCATCTCTATCTCCGGACATCAAATAACTAACGGCATCGAAAACTAGTTTTTCGTACAACGTTGCATGTTCCTGTAACATCAAAATCCTAATCATGTATGAATTTTCTTAAATTGTACTTTTTCTTCTTCTCTATTTTCTCCATTTTATGATTTTAGTCCCTCAAATTTTGATCTTAATTAATCTAACAAACTTTAAACTAATTCGTAACTAATACTAACCAACTTATAACTACATAGATTTAACCCTAACAAATATATAATGAGTCTCTAATAACATCTAAAACCAGATATTTTTCAAAATTGATTATGTTAATGTGTAATTTAAGTAATGTTATCTCAAATCAATATCTTAATTGCGTGATTAAACTAAACTCAAAAATGAATTATCAGAAGTAATGAGAGGATAGATACACATACAAGATGCGACTCAGCGGTGTGAAGTAAAGAGGTAGCACGAGAAGAATCAGAGGAGTAGATAAAATGAGCTGCTAAGGTGTTGGCTAACACACAGTAGTTATCATGGGTTACTGATTCCATAATCACACGCCTCTCTCTACCGTAGCTGAGAACCTTCATTCAGAAAATCGAAAGGGTTTTCAACAAACAGAAGAAGAAGATGAAGAAGAAAATTGATTTGAAACCTGTTGATAATAGGAATTGATGGTTGAAATGCAGAGTTGAGAAGAAGTTGTGACATCGTAGCCACAACCGTCTAATTTGATCCTTCCTGCCATTGTTCTTGACTCCTCTTTTTGGTGTGTGTTGAGTTCCCAAAGTAAGTAACCGTAACTAACTAGATCGTCACTTTCAGAGGTGCTTTAGATAATGCCAATGCTAAGTGAGTGCTTCGTCACACCTCTACCTTTCTCTCTCTTAATATCTGTCAATTTTACAATGTTTTCTGTTTTTTTTCTTTCTCATCTTCTTTTATTGTATTTGTATATATCAGTCAACATTTTGTTATAGATAAAATCAATAAAATATTAATCTATTAGACCCCCACAATGCATTAGATATATGAAGAAAAAAAACGAAGATGAGATGTACCTAATAATAAGAAAAATAACAAAAGTGAACCGAAAAGAAGCAATCCCTAATCTATTTTGGAGAAAGCTCTTCTTAACACTAAGAATGATATTGTCTGATTGTCTCACCCGATTTTCGTCATGAATATAGAATTTTGTATTTACTATTTGATATGTGTAACGATTATCTTTGTTAAGACTCTCATATCGGATAATATCTGACATTAATATATGTTTATAAGTGGAGGGCGATCTTTAGTCTACCAACCGATTTTGTAGGGTTGAGTTAGGCCCAAAAACTTGATTGCAAGTTATTTGGTGAAGAAAAAATATATACCGAAAAATTTGATTGCAAGTTATTTAATGAAGAAAAAATACATATCAAAAAATTTGATTGCAAGTTATTTGGTGGAAAAAAAAATACATATCAAAAACTTGATTGCAAGTTATTTGGTGAAGAAAAAATACATACCGAAAAATAATAAATATTAAATAATAAAATTAGTTGATAAATGAAAATGGTAAAGTTGAAATCTTTTTAAAAATGTAGGGGTAAGAGATAATAGTAGGGGTATGAGGTAAAATTTTCCCTTATCTTGTATAGGGGAGTTTGTGGGCCTTAACCTTTTTTATCTTCCATTGCATTCTTTTCATATAAGATTTAAACTCTTAAACTTTCATTTAAAAGTCCATCATCTCAAAACTTACATTTTTCTTCATCCTGCGAACATTGATCAATTTCTTCTCTTTTATCAGCATATTCATCGAGCCCCTATACTTGTGATATGGAAATTAAACTTCCCAACTTTCAACCACCAATTCTCATAAGTAGTGTTTTTCATCTTCTCTCCACAACAAACAACTTATCCAATTAAGCTTGAAGGTTTTCATTATCCTTTTAGGGCATGGGATGGGGCGTACATTGTGTAGGGTACAAACTTAAAACCTTGTCCCGCCCACACATAAATATGAGTGCGGACACTGTGTAACACCCCGAAATTTGATTAATATATTTAATCAAATAAAACATATTTTTATTTAATTAATTGGTATGTAGTGCGCTTTTAATTAAACATATTATGAGTTGTATTTGGTGTATGATGGGGTGTAGTGAGAGTATTGATGGGGTGGTAGAAGAATTAAAATGATTAAAATAATTAAATTAATTGGCAATAATTAGTTTATTTCTGCTTTTATTTTAATTTTGTTACTTCTTTTTTGAATAAATAATAATTTGACACCTTCTTGCTGTGTAGGAAATAACTTGAACTACAAGATTTTGTTTGACGCGTTCTAATATGCATCGAAAATCTGAGAGGATAAGCTACAACTTTTGTATTGAAGTCAGAAGCTAAATCAAACTGTAGAAGAGTCGAATACCGTATTTTCGTGCTAGACTTTATAAATTAATTAGTTTTGGACCGGATTTTATGTTTTCGGGTCGGTTGCTATTAGGGGATAATTTTTCTTGTAATATTTAAACTAAAATGCAGTGCTACTGATAGGGTATTGAGAATTTACACAGAATAACATTAGACGACTAAAATTCCAATAGAGAGATAATTTTCCAAAGGTTGATCTACTAATAACAGTTTCCATCAAACCTTGAGGTAATTGTAATTTCAATTTGATTTTAATTCATTTTGCTATTATTTCGTGTTTCTTGTTGAAGGTTGAGAAACACAAGAAATAAGGGTTTGAATTGGGTTTCACATTTCGTCTCCTTTTGCAGAATTAAACTAATGACATTAACAAGTAAATAAAAATAAATGAACCCAATTATTTTTGTCCTGGTTCGCTGTTAACGAAATTACTTCAGTCCATCCACCAAGGTGATTTTGCCTTATCACAAGGACTTAATCCAATAATCATCAAAATGATTACAACCTCTAAGTTGTTAAACAATACACTTAGCCCTATCAAGCATCCTGACTTTCACATAGCCACTCAAGGAAATTGATAAGTCCAAGCTTTTGAGATTGACATTAATTTTGGTAAAACTAACTTGACAACAACATGTCAGACAAGATGTCCTAACATGAAGAACAAGATGTTAGACAAGATGTTTTATCATGATGCTTCGACATCTTTGTCTGTTACTTTGCAGTTTTAATACTGCTATTTTATTTCAAGTTTTTATAATATTGTGGGAATGTTTGTTTATCCTATGTGGCATTCAAGATTGAGGAATCAGAGATTCTGTTGGAATCTAAAGATGCCTTTTTCTAAGTGTGGAGACATTTTAGGAAACTTTAGATTGAAAAAACTATTCTTGAGGAGAATAAGTTGCAGATTTTGTGTAACTGAATTGCTGCATTTTTGAAGCCCAAATCCAGTCTAGTTTATGGTTATAAATATGATAGATTTAACCTAATCAAAGTGTGAAAAAATACATTGTTTCTTAGTGAGTTTTAGGGTTTGTGTATTTGTGAGCCTCTCTTGTATCATGTTGATACTAGAGTTAGTCTGTTTGCATTGAGTTGTAACTTATGTCACTGTTGTGATTGAAAGGGAATTGAGAAGGGTCTCATACCTAGGAGAGTCTTAGGTAGAAATTAAACACATGTAGTGATTAAGTGATAAGTTGTAAACCAGAGGTTGTTTAGCTTAGAATTAATATTATCTAATGAATTTCATTCCTGGTATGGTAGCCCCCAGACGTAGGTGTTGTTGTACATCGAACTGGGTTAATAATTATTGTGTGTTCGTTTACTTTCTGCAAGTTTTATTGTGCTTCTTCTCGTCATTGTGTTTAGCAGAGATCAAGTGTCCCAAAATCTATTGGGACATTTGAGATCTGCATACCAGAATTTCAATTGGTATCAGAGCAGGAATCCTGCTCTATATCTGGGTGAGATTCAGGAAAGTTACTTTTTGGTGCAATGGACAAGGAAGGAGGAAAATTGAACAGACCATCCATCCTTAATGGATCCAATTATGAATATTGGAAAGTGTGCATGGTGACCTTTATTAAGTCCATGGACGGTAAAGCTTGGAAATATGTGGTCAAAGGATGGAATCCACCAAAGGATAAAGATAAGGAAGGTAAGATTATTGATATTATGAAGCCTGATGAAGACTAGGATGATGAAGATGACAAGCTAGCTCAGGATAATTCCAAAGCATTGAATTCCATATTCAATGGAATGGACAAAAACATCTTCAGATTGATAAAGAATTGTACTGTTGCCAAAGATGCTTGAGAGATCTTGAAGACTGCTCATGAAGGAACCTCTAGAGTGAAATCATCAAGACTTTAACTTCTTACAACCAAGTTTGAGAACTTGAAGATGAAGGAGGATGAAAGTATTCAATACTTTCATATGAACATTATTGATATTGCCAATACTTCAAGTGATCTTGGAGAAAAGATTCCAGAAGTTAAGTTGGTCCAAAAAATATAAGATCTCTTCCAAAGAGATTTGACATGAAGGTGACTGCAATTGAAGAAGCTCAGGACATAAACACCATGAAGGTGGATGAACTCATGGGATCTCTTCAGAATTTTGAATTGGCAATCAGTGAGAAAACTGAAAATAAGAAAAGCACAACCTTGGTGTCTAATCAAGGTGAATGTGATCCAAAGTCCAAGGAAAAATTATCTAAGGTCGTTGTGTTTCTTAGAAAACAGTATTAACTAATTGTTAAAGAGGATGCACGGGGAGTCAAGATCAAATGTCAAGACTCATTCATCTGAAATCAACAAAAGGAAGGATTTTGGAAGAAGGTCCAAAACTGAAGAGAAAGCTAACAAAGGCAAAGGAATCCAATGTTATGAATGCGAAGGATTTAGACACATCAAATATGAGTGTTCTACCTTTCTCAAAAAGGAGAAAAAAAGCTTGTTTACATCTTGGTCTGAAGATGATTCTTCAAGTGAAGGAGGATCTGCTAAATAGGTTTCGACTCTTACTGGGGTATATGATTATGATAAAGAATTAGATGGTGAATATTTCACTTATGATGAACTGGTTGCCTCATACAAGGAGCTATCCATCAGAAATGTAGAAGTGTGTGTTGCACCCCAAAATTTGCTCAACCTTTTCTTACCTGGTTTATGTTTCATTGCATTAGCATTTGCATAGTTATATCATTTGCATATCATGTTATCATTCATATAGCAGGGGATCAAGTGTGATTCTTTCTCAAAAGAAGCCTAGCAAGAGGTCTCATTCAAGATTGAGGAGTGGTCAAAGTTATCAGAAGGTGGTTTGAATGCCTAAGGGCTTAGATGTTTGAGTGTGAATCTTCTCCTAACTTGAGGATCAACTGAAGACAATCAGAGGGCTGTGAAGTGTTTAATGTGAGAAGAGGATGTGTAAGGATATCATAGAATGCCTAGAGGTCCATGGGAGAGTTTAATCAAGTCATTGTGTCAAATGCAAGAGCCACAGTTGAGGTGCAAGCAATTAGGGTTTCATCTGGATAAATTCTAGGTCAACTGGGCAATTGAAGAGTATCAAAGCCTACTTGTAGGTCATGGAGTTCATGAAATGATGTGATAATACATTTGTGGTGTTGTGCCAAGATCAAATCAAGAGGATTCAAGAGTGCGGGAAGTTGCTAAATTAGGGTTTCAGTGCAAAATTCCCCATTTAGTGCCTAACTTCAAGACCACATAAGTCAAGATAAAAGTTTCAAATGGATCTTTGGCCAACATAAAACTTTTAGAGAATCTCAATACCTTTAATTTGAGTACTATAAGTCCT